GGTCGGCCTGCTCCGTCTCTGCCGCTTGCCAGCTACGCCTCGGCCGGCGCAGGGGGCGGAACCACGCATGCGCGGCGCTCCCGGGCAGGGAAAGTCCTCGACTTACGACCGGTTGGGTAGTCCTCGACTTACGACCGGTTTAGTCCTCGACTTACGACCGGTTGGGGGGTCGCGGCATTAAAAAGGTTGAGAACCACTGTTCTAAACATTTCAGATGAGAAATTGCTTTCTTTCCCAGGATGGCCATTTCTTTGGTCAAATCTCTTCTCCTACAAATCAACTTTTTTTGGCAAGAGAATTGACAACAGCTCCTGCAGGGGGGCCATTGCTCAGGGCTTAAAAGCATCATCACTGAAGAAGAAGTCAGAGACTCTAGTCTGAGCAAATTCATCACAGCAAGAGAACCCCGCAACAGAGCCGCACTCACAACCCCTTCCCGCCACAACCTCACCTCTCTTCCTGGGGCATGCCTCTATGGATGGCAATGGCTGGGAAGTTCTGCTCCACCAAGAGTTGGGCCAGAGCTATGCAACGCTGCACAGATTTCACAAAGATGACCACCTAGGCAAAAGAAGAGAAAAGTCAACCCCACTAGTTCGTAAGGAACACCAGTGAACCTTGCTCAGTTATATTTTGGGGAAGCCCCTCTGACAACTCCAGAGTTTGTACAAAGTGGCATTTAGCTTTTATTCTTCAGAGCAATGTAAGCAAACCTCCTGTCTTGACAAGGCTACTTTTTTTTTTTTTTGGCCCAAAATTTAGATGCGACAGTTGTAGCAGAATCAGCCAACTCCCGGCGTTCAATTAAGAACCTCAAATTGTCTTTAAAGATGAACAGAAATTCTTATGATCACAAGCGGGGTCGGAATTTTCCTTGCTTAGCAGATGGCTGGTTAAATGAATCAAAGCCGCTTTTATGAGTTGTGCCTTGGTTAAGCAAATCACTGCCGTTGTTAAGTGAATCACGCCGCCGTGAAGCTACGCTGGTTTCCCCAACTAACTTTGCTTGTTGGAAGCCGGCTGGGAAGGTCACGGATGGATCACACGATTCAGGGACGCTGCAAATACAGGCAGTCCTTGACTTTCAACAATTAAGCCCAAAGTTTCAATTTTCTAAGTCAGGGCTCCTCAAACATGGCCACTTGAAGACTTGTGGACTTCAACTCCCAAAATTCCCCAGCCAGCATGGCTGGCTGGGGAATTCTGGGAATTGGAAGTCCACAAGTCTTCAAGTGGCCATGTTTGAGGACCCCTGTTCTAAGTGAAACATTTAAGTGAATTTCGCCTCATTTTACAACCTTTCTTGCTATAGTTAAGTGAACCACTGCAGTTGTTACAATTAGTAACACGGTTGTTAAGTGAACCTGGCGTCCCTATGGACCTTGTCAGGAGGTCGCAAAAGCCGATCGCACGACCCGCGGGAGGCTGCAATCGTCATAAATACGAGTCAAGTTGCCAAGAGGGCACGTTTTGATCCCATGACCTTGGGGAACACCACAATGCTCGCAAAGTGTGGAAAAAAAATAATAATCACATGTCACTTTGTTCGATGCCGTTGTTTAACTTTGGACAGTCACTAAACGAACTGTCGTTAAGTCGAGGACTACCTGGAGAAGGCTGATTGCCAAGTGCCCCGAGTTTTGATCACATGACCGTGGGGATACTATAATGGTTGTTAAGCATGAGGACCAGATGACACTTCCCCCCCCCCAGTGCCATTATAACTTTGAATGCTGGCTAAATAAATGGGTTATAAGTTGAGAATAGAATAAAATAGAAGCTGGAAGGGACCTTGGAGGTCTTCTAGTCCAGCCCCCTGTTCAAGCAGGAGAACCTATACCAGTGATGACGAACCTTTTAGAGACCGAGTGCCCAAAACTGGCCCCGCCCACACTCCACCTCCTGCCCCGCCCCCACCCCGCCTACCCACAGGGCCACTCACTGCCTCCAGGGCTCCGATCGCCCAGGCATCCCAAGCAGTGCCATTGCGGCCACGCCCTCTGCCCGCGCCCCGCAGCATCAACTGTGCGCGATGGGGCGTGAGGGCAGAGTCTTGTCCACGCTGCCTGGCTGCCATGTCCTTGGCTGCGCTGCTCCGCGTGGGCCACGCTCAGGGACAACATTCCTCCAGGGGGGCTGCTGAGGAGGAGGGGGCCACAGGGGGAGAAGGCAAGGCTGGGGCAACAGCACGTGTGCCCACAGAGAGGGCTCCGAGTGCCGCCTCTGGCACGCGTGCCATAGGTTCGCCACCACTGACCTATACCGTCACAGACAGGTGAATGTCTAGTCTCTTCTTAAAAATCTCCAGTGATGGAGCGCCCACGATTCCTGGGGGTGAGCTGTTCCTACAGGGCTACCTGCACTGGATTTAACCAGCTCTGGCCTCTCCCACATACACCACACCCCCACTCCCACCCCCACCCCAGGCTCTATTCCCAGAAAGCACCTGATTGAACTCCAGCACATCAAGCAGGTCAAACAGCTTGCGGTTCTTCTCGTTGTCTTTCAGTTTGACATAATACTGCTGCAGACCGTGCAGCGTCAGCTTGGTCTCGTCATCCACGAAGATCTCCATAGGCTGAGAAGCAAATCCAGGGCCAGTTAGACCAAGGGTAAGACTGACCTGGGCTTGGAGGGGACAGGGAGGGTGGGGGGAAGGACAAGAAGCGCAGATCTGCACAGGAGCAACTTTCCCCCTACCACAGAGACGACGGGGGTCCTGCCCCTTAGAACGGGTCCAGGAAACAAACCCTAACTCCTTCCAACAAGAACAACTCAAAAAAAAGCCCAATCTAATTACGTTAAAAATTCGAATCCTGGGTAAAGCCATGCAATTAAAAATAAATACATACGAGCACCAGGATAATAGCAAACTAGAATTTGTTTAATAAAAATGCTGAGCTTTCGTCGGCCAGCACTGCCGACATCATCAGAGCACGACATCATCAAAGCATTGACTTGCTTTCGTGCTCTGATGATGTCGGCAGTGCTGGCCGACGAAAGCTCAGCATTTTNGGGGTCGCCAAGCAAGGCTGTCCGCCATTTTTTTCCCCTTTTCCGGCGGGTGCCTTACCTCCCTTGAGCTGGGCCAGCTGGTGGTCGGCCTGCTCCGTCTCTGCCGCTTGCCAGCTACGCCTCGGCCGGCGCAGGGGGCGGAACCACGCATGCGCGGCGCTCCCGGGCAGGGAAAGTCCTCGACTTACGACCGGTTGGGGGGTCGCGGCATTAAAAAGGTTGAGAACCACTGTTCTAAACATTTCAGATGAGAAATTGCTTTCTTTCCCAGGATGGCCATTTCTTTGGTCAAATCTCTTCTCCTACAAATCAACTTTTTTTTGGCAAGAGAATTGACAACAGCTCCTGCAGGGGGGCCATTGCTCAGGGCTTAAAAGCATCATCACTGAAGAAGAAGTCAGAGACTCTAGTCTAAGCAAATTCATCACAGCAAGAGAACCCCGCAACAGAGCCGCACTCACAACCCCTTCCCGCCACAACCTCACCTCTCTTCCTGGGGCATGCCTCTATGGATGGCAATGGCTGGGAAGTTCTGCTCCACCAAGAGTTGGGCCAGAGCTATACAACGCTGCACAGACTTCACAAAGATGACCACCTAGGCAAAAGAAGAGAAAAGTCAACCCCACTAGTTCGCAAGGAACACCAGTGAACCTTGCTCAGTTATATTTTGGGGAAGCCCCTCTGACAACTCCGGAGTTTGTCCAAAGTGGCATTTGGCTTTTATTCTTCAGAGCAATGTAAGCAAACCTCCTGTCTTGACAAGGCTACTTTTTTTTTTTTTTTTGGGCCCAAAATTTAGATGCGACAGTTGTAGCAGAATCAGCCAGCTCCCAGCGGTTCAATTAAGACCCTCAAATTGTCTTTAAAGATGAACAGAAATTCTTGACTTATGATCACAAGCGGGGTCGGAATTTTCCTTGCTTAGCAGATGGCTGGTTAAATGAATCAAAGCCGCTTTTATGAGTTGTGCCTTGGTTAAGCAAATCACTGCCGTTGTTAAGTGAATCACGCCGCCGTGAAGCTACGCTGGTTTCCCCAACTAACTTTGCTTGTTGGAAGCCGGCTGGGAAGGTCACGGATGGATCACACGATTCAGGGACGCTGCAAATACAGGCAGTCCTTGACTTTCAACAATTAAGCCCAAAGTTTCAATTTTCTAAGTCAGGGCTCCTCAAACATGGCCACTTGAAGACTTGTGGACTTCAACTCCCAGAATTCCCCAGCATTCTGGGAGTTGGAAGTCCACAAGTCTTCAAGTGGCCATGTTTGAGGAGCCCTGTTCTAAGTGAAACATTTAAGTGAATTTCGCCTCATCTGTTACAACCTTTCTTGCTATAGTTAAGTGAACCACTGCAGTTGTTACAATTAGTAACACGGTTGTTAAGTGAACCTGGCGTCCCTATGGACTTTGTCAGGAGGTCGCAAAAGCCGATCGCACGACCCGCGGGAGGCTGCAATCGTCATAAATACCAGTCAAGTTGCCAAGAGGGCACGTTTTGATCCCGTGACCTTGGGGAACACCACAATGCTCGCAAAGTGTGGAAAAAAAATAATAATCACATGTCACTTTGTTCGATGCCGTTGTTTAACTTTGGACAGTCACTAAACGAACTGTCGTTAAGTCGAGGACTACCTGGAGAAGGCTGATTGCCAAGTGCCCCGAGTTTTGATCACATGACCAGTGGGGATACTGTAACGGTTGTTAAGCATGAGGACCAGATGACACCTTTTCCCCCCCCCTAGTGTCATTATAACTTTGAATGCTGGCTAAATAAATGGGTTATAAGTTGAGAATAGAATAAAATAGAAGAGAAGCTGGAAGGGACCTTGGAGGTCTTCTAGTCCAGCCCCCTGTTCAAGCAGGAGAACCTATACCAGTGATGACGAACCTTTTAGAGACCGAGTGCCCAAAACTGGCCCCGCCCACACTCCACCTCCTGCCCCGCCCCCACCCCGCCTACCCACAGGGCCACTCACTGCCTCCAGGGCTCCGATCGCCCAGGCATCCCAAGCAGTGCCATTGCGGCCACGCCCTCTGCCCGCGCCCCGCAGCATCAACTGTGCGCGATGGGGCGTGAGGGCAGAGTCTTGTCCACGCTGCCTGGCTGCCATGTCCTTGGCTGCGCTGCTCCGCGTGGGCCACGCTCAGGGACGACATTCCTCCAGGGGGGCTGCTGAGGAGGAGGGGGCCACAGGGGGAGAAGGCAAGGCTGGGGCAACAGCACGTGTGCCCACAGAGAGGGCTCCGAGTGCCGCCTCTGGCACGCGTGCCATAGGTTCGCCACCGACCTATACCGTCACAGGCAGGTGAATGTCTACTCTCTTCTTAAAAATCTCCAGTGATGGAGCGCCCACGATTCCTGGGGGTGAGCTGTTCCTACAGGGGCTACCTGCACTGGATTTAACCAGCTCTGGCCTCTCCCACGTACACCACACCCCCACCCCCACCCCAGGCTCTATTCCCAGAAAGCACCTGGTTGAACTCCAGCACATCAAGCAGGTCAAACAGCTTGCGGTTCTTCTCGTTGTCTTTCAGTTTGACATAATACTGCTGCAGACCGTGCAGCGTCAGCTTGGTCTCGTCATCCACGAAGATCTCCATAGGCTGAGAAGCAAATCCAGGGCCAGTTAGACCAAGGGTAACACTGACCTGGGCTTGGAGGGGACAGGGAGGGGGGGGAGGACAAGAAGCGCAGATCTGCACAGGAGCAACTTTCCCCCTACCACAGAGACGACGGGGGTCCTGCCCCTTAGAACGGGTCCAGGAAACAAACCCTAACTCCTTCCAACAAGAACAACTCAAAAAAAAGCCCAATCTAATTACGTTAAAAATTCAAACCCTGGGTAAAGCCATGCAATTAAAAATAAATACATACGAGCACCAGGATAATAGCAAACTAGAATTTGTTTAATAAAAATGCTGAGCTTTCGTCGGCCAGCACTGCCGACATCATCAGAGCACGACATCATCAAAGCATTGACTTGCTTTCGTGCTCTGATGATGTCGGCAGTGCTGGCCGACGAAAGCTCAGCATTTT